TGGCACCCATAACGCGCACAGATCAAAAGTTGATACCAAAGAGGAGTATTCCATTAAGGTTTCCCAGACCAGAAAAGGAAGACCCAAAAATCCAGGTTCACCTGCAAAATATTTTCCACTAACTAATAGTTCTTAAGTGCCAGTTAACAACGCCAACGAACAAACAGGTACTTCAAACTGACACCTGATGTAACTAACTGTTGTCGTCGCTCAATTGCCTCAGTGTTGAAAAAATTCTCGCTTTATTGCGAACAAGCGAGTGCAGAATTTGCAAGGAGAATTGCGGCATTTAAAGCGATTAGTTGACCTTTAATCCAAGCTGTCCGATCAATGTTAGGTGAACACTCATCATCAACGACCGTTGCTTCTATGACATAGCTGAAAACCCATCATCGTCGGTCGCTCCTGAACTGATTGACTGCTTGAGCGTCGAATCGGTAGCTGGCTTCAGTGGCCCGGATGCTCGACGGATTCCGTACTGCGATTTTGATGGAGTTTGAGGGTCCAAATTAGTTTCGATTATTCTGTGATTATTTTCAACAACCTGATCTTTTTAAAAACGCTCAGCACTGATCAAGTCGTTTGGACGTAAGAAATCTCGCCAATTAGTTCAGTAACTGCCTAAAAGCTCGGTCTACTTGGTGACTTATTCTCTCGGCCTGACGAAGCTTTTGTGTCAAAATCGAAACATTGCCAAACAATAAATCCACCGACCGCTTATCAAAACTCCTTGAGACGACTACCACTCATATAATCTCAAACATCTGCTTCATTTGATTGTGTTTGAAAAGTTAAAGTGGAAAGAAGAGATTTTTGAGGGAAGGGCCTAACACTCACCTATCGCAAGCATTCCCAGGTCCCTAAATCACCAAGAGCTGAATCAGACAATCTGGAAAGAAAGTGGTAGGACGAACGCCACTTACATCGATTGGCAGCCATTTCTTATATTTTATTAGGTTGGTATGCAGCAGAAGCACAAGCTCTGGCCCGATAAGTTATAAGAAGGCCCCATTGATTAGTCCAAAGTAGTGAACAACAAATTGTGCATCCAAATGTTTGTGGGAACAGGCGACTCATTTTCACGCACTAGCGAATGATAAGTAGCCCACAACCATTTTGCTAATGGGCCAAACTTCACTCTGTCGCTGAAACTGGGTAATGTAGGTCAGATTATCAAAGTGCTCGGTGACTCAAAGCTGTGGTAACATGTAATTTTGGTTCTCTACTGTTTTTTCCCACCAGCTAATTATCTATCGTCATCGACAGCATGATATCAGTGTTCAACACCGATGCTTCACTGCCGTACAACCATGATTTATTTGAAAGCCTTATTGTACAGAAAAGAGTAAAGGTGGACGGGGAATGGACTTGATCCATGGACTTGATCAGCATGGAGCAGAAAACAACGGTCTAAAATAAACAACGCGTTTCATATATCACTAACAGACAAGTATAGTCACTTTCCGACACTGAACGAAACGATGTCCTGCAAATCCACTGCGTACAAGCTTACTGAGTGTACCGTCGATTTGAAAACCCCTTTGTGCAATCACTGATCAAACCAAGGTATTGCTTCACGTACTGCAACGTATTATGCAATGTTATGCGTTAAAAAAACAGGACAGGCTTTGTCCTTAACGCCTAGTACTCGGACGAATTTCTGTTCCTCTTTCAATCACTGATGAACTTGAATATTGAGGCAACCAGGCATCGGTAGCCTTGGAGAAACAAGTTTCACTACTCCACAGGGTGTCTCAGTCAAGAAACCAGAGAGAAATGCGCATCTTCAAATCAATAAGGTTTTAGTTGTTAGGTCCGCACCTACTGTTCAAAAGTCGGTTCTCAACATGACAGCTTGATACGAAGATCTGTTGGAATGCTCACACAATTTGTGTAGTGACAAGTCAGGGTTTAGAGTGAATAAGGCGTAACCTAAACAGATATTTACCATACAGAAAGGAGCAAGCTCTTGCAAAATTCATCTTTGCCTACTTTGGAAGCAATCACAAAAACAAGCTGCACTTAATGAAAAGCAAATTAGGAGGCCTGCTTCGTAGATGACCTTGGACCCACACGATGTTAGTGAAATCTGATCTGAGAAACTAGGTTACTTGATGAGTCTTATTCCTGTGCGCATCATGTTTCAAAACTCAAAAGATTACCAGTTAATCGCCATTACCCATTCGATAGGCAAGCATCTGGTATTTTCCTTACTATAGTTTTACAGAATGTTTTCACTCTATTTTTGTAGATGTTATTATTGGGGGGCCGATTGATAAATTAACCCTTCGTTTGTTTGTTGTCACATAAAGGGTTCATGCAGAATTTCGCACCAAAAACCCCAGCCATTCTTGATATCCAAATAACCCCACGAGATCGTTTAACTTTTCACAGGTCATTTCAGTGAAAACACACTTTGAAAGGTCAGTACCTCCAACTATCTACTTTTGTGCCAACTGTTTATAAAAAATACTCAGGACGTTTTGCAATAGTAAGAAAAATTCGCACGAAAGACACCTTTGACGCTGAATATGAATATCTCGGGGACATTTCACTCTGCTAGATACCCAGTAGAACTCGTGAAGAAATTCTGTAGGTCTTGGCTGGTCTGTTCAGTTGCAAAGGCGTTTTTTTGTATTCAGAGGAAACGACAGCAGTGAGCTGTGGGACAAAGAATTCCACGCAGCAAAACCCAAGGACACATCACCCTCGCTTGGACACTGTTATTCCTATCCTAGTGCAGTGACTCTGGCGAGTCCACACCAGAGAAGGGAAGCACTGGATTCATGTTTAGCTCTTCGTGAAGCTCCTCAGCAATACGTAATTTGGATCTGACGGTCATTTGACGTGTTGGCACTACTCCATGAGCGCAAAATGGGCGCACCAGAATTATCACATCTGAACAGGCGAATGTGTTCACTCTTTAACAGCGTGATTGATGTACCCGATGGCTCGAACGACTGATTTACACGTCTGCCAGAAATTCTCAGCCGAGTAGCAGCTTAAAAACTCATGGACCGGTCAATCGATCGACACAACGAGAATAGCTGCTATGTCGTCGTTCGCACCGTCATGTAAACCAATCACATCGATCAGGCGTGAACACATTCGTCTGTTCACGTCTAATAATCTCGGCGTGCCCATCTTGCGCCCGTGGAGTAGTGCTAACATGCTCACCTCTCCTATCAAATGACCGGAGTTCAACCCCCAGTACGGCCAAAGATATGAACTGCTGATGAGCTCCAATAAGAGCGACTCTTGAGTCCAGTACTTCCATGCTTTCGTGTGCCCCCACCAAAATAACTGTGCCAGGACACAAGTAAGATTGTTCAAACGAGTGATGGGAACGTGAATTCAACAAATCCCTCCGCAACTGAACACGACTGTAACTGAACCTCTACCCCCGTAATCAAAGATCCCCTATCTCAGTAGGCCATCTCTAATCTCCTTTATTGTTTTACGTATAGATGCCTGACCGCCATCCTTGGAAAAGCTGAGCAGCAACTTCACATTAGACAAGCGACACACATCTCGTTTTGGATAAAGCAGTGTGTGAATCAGTACGCTCTACCGCGTCCAAGTACACATTCAAATTAGGAGGTATGTGCAAGGTTGATACCTGCTTCATTGATAGTCCGCCATTCATTCCAAAGTGAACGTTGGGTTTATCTGGTAGTTGCGTTCCACATCGTGTATAGAACCGCAAAGATTAAGGTGCTACACTTTGCTAAATCTGTGATTATAGGAAGATGGAAACCAGAAATGAGTAAACAGAAGGAAGCGAATATGTCTTTGGCACGCCCTTACTGATCGGCTTGCTTTCGACGTGCCGGTAATGACGACTTATGTTCTGTTTATTCATTTATCTGACACTGGTCTGTAGTATACATCCGAAGAGATATAGCCAGATATACCAATCGTATCGTTCGGCAACTCATTTTTCTCTGCTGTCTTCAAGTTTACAATGGAAAAGTCGTGCTTCAAGTCCCCAGCGAATGCCCAAGACCACTGTCACTGCAGACTACCTGACATCGAATTCTACATTATAAAGTTATCAGTGTTTTAGAAGAATTTGAAGGTTAAATTAAGTAGCAGTTTATGGCTACCGACGGAGCTTATAGGTCAACGCACTGTTTTGAAGGCATAACCAAACAATTACAAGTAAATGCCCATGCATGTATGGTGCATTAATGACTCAAAAAGGGTTCCATGATAGGGTTAGCAGTCCTTTGGTTCGTTTCGACCTATGGATTTCCTGTGAAATAGAGATCTCATCCTGTCAGTGAAGCCAGTCTATGCTAAAAAGTCGAGCAGCACTGTACAGATGTTTCATCCTTGTTGGGAATCATCAGCAATATGCACCTCACGAAACCCAGAGAGTTTCAAACCCGCAGCCCTCCGATCAGTGGTTGAACATTTAACTGTTTGGTCCCGAGTGGCTGATCAGCCGTGTGATTAACACTCACGTAGAGAGGACATAGCTCCACCAATCCTTAACTAACGGAAGCCACATCGCGCGGTCATCTATTAGCTGGCTCCACGAGTAACGATTTGTCAGAATGATGTTTTTTACATCCAGTGAGCTGATTTTTGGTTAATGGTATAGGTATACAGCAGACCAAGTTATATTGGAAGCTCAGACGGAGCAGGCTATATCCAAACCAAAATTCTGAGGAATTTGTTCTCCTAGATGAGGCTATTCTGCTTTCGTGCTCTTTAGCTAGTTATGTGATGCGAGCAAGCAGGGGAACGAAAATTTCTTGACGTTGATGGTATTGGCGCAGTGACGCCTTCACAACTGTCTAAGTTCATAGAGAGCATAAGGGAACGCTTGGTAGTAGACGTGACCTTCATCTGTCTGACAGGTTCTTGCATTTTGGCTACAATTTTGACTACAATATTTTCTTCCGGTTGCTTTTGATTCCCTAATCCTACTAAATCCCTGCGAATATAGCTGATTGCAAGATCAACGAGCGAACGTTATATTTCACGATTCAGGGCACACATATACCGCATATCAAAAGTCAGTAGGCGTCAGTGACAGAATTAGCGGAAATTCGGTGAATTACCTAGTCAGTATTTAGTATCAAACACACTCCCTGCAAAATCCAGTGACTTGCATGTTTGGTAGTTTGCAAATTGGCCTCGAAAACCAGTCCGACGCCCATGGCATTCCGCCTGTCTGATGTCACATAAACAGGAGCACGGAACGTGTTTTGTACTTTTAGCCGATGCGTCTCCACCGCCATGACTCGGAGGATCGGCAGTGGCTGAATCAACTGCTTTGGGTGTTGGCGAATGAGACAGCCTGCTTCCATATCCCAGCTGGCCCCCTCAAGAAAGAGACCACGAACGAAACAGCCTTGGTGTGCACGTTCGGCAACTTCAACATCATCGGGAATATCAGTAAGAGTGGCAAACAAGGTACTTCGATCCAAAGGCCAGCCATTACGTCGACAAGTTGTTTGAACCAGTGCCATTAGATAAGACTCCGGAATGTGTAATCCAGATAACCATATTACATTCGGTTCACCCTTTTCAACCTACAGTTAAGACCAAAATGACGGTGATTTTTAGCATGACCACATTGAGATAGAAGGAAACCTATACACAAAACTAAACAAATAAGTTGTATTGGTTCATCTTTAGCGCCCTCAGAAAGCACGCTAATCAGTCAACAAAGCAAGTATCCTAATGCGTCTATAAACCAGTTCTCTGACTGTTTTCTGAACCTTACCTCCTGTGTTACTGCAGATTTCTTCATCTGTTTGCACATAATCAAGATACATAATCAAATGAATAAATATCCTTCATACGTGTAGGTGATTTTTACGTTTAGGGCAATATTGCTTTCCATACCCTGCCTGTACTCAGGTGGCGATCTCTCTTTTGACACACTCTTTTCCTAACCCAAACCAATCTCCGCCCTACCAGCACGTCTATGTACAGATCTGATGGGCCTTGTTATGCGCCCTAAGCATGCGACCAAGTGGACAATCATTACCTATGTTTGTCGTTTCTAGCTGACCACTTCCTAGCACCTATAGATGGCAATAACACTGGCAAGGAGTAATCCCCTTATGAACACCTGGGACTTAAGTGGCATGGATGAAAACCGCAATATGTGTACGCTGTTAGTTTAGATGTCAAAACAGTAATTATGCAAAATACATAGGGGAGAAACAAATAAAACGCAGTGGTACAAAGGGTATCTCAGAGCAATCAGCAGTACTGGACCGTTTCTAATAGCATAACGAGCAGCTCACTATCATCCGCACTTCATAACTCCATGTGATAGCGAGAAGTATGAATTTTCAGCCCTGTGTCTTCTATTAGTTTGATTACTGAGAAATTGAAAAAGTGTTGCTCATGATTCTATTTTGCCACTTTTCTAAACCGTCCGACTGAATCGGTCATTTGGCCCACCACAGTCAAGATCTGAACCTGGTCAATATTGTAGGCTTCTCAAAGATACGTATGACAAGTATGGGTTGTTGATGTAAGGCACACAGTTTCGTAGCATTTCAGAATCTGACCAGATGATGCTGTTTTGAGCTTAATCGGGACTGTATTTGATGATCATTCATAAGATCAGAAGAGAAGTTTTTGCAGAAGTGCTGTTGAAATGGATTACGACAGAGGTGTTCAGGTAGCCCAAAAGTAATAACCCTTTGCATCGTAGTCCGCCTCAGTGATCATAACCTTGCGAATGCCAACTTCAGTTAGTTTTGCATGGCTACTTTGTGTAACGGAGGATCACCCCCCATATAAGTACGGCTGCCAGTTTCGGACAGGCTGTCTGAATGTTTCCTCGTCAATTTTCTCCAGAAGGTGGTTGGGACAACTAAACCGTTGAATAAGGAAAACAGCAGATTTTTATAATAATCTATGAGATGGCGGCGGTACCTCCATTAAAACCCCATGATCTCCTACACTGCCGGGGTGTCTGAATGGAGACAAAGAGATTCGATGAACTACCGCAACTCTCTCAAACAAATCGGGCATCCAGGTGGTGGTTATTCGTCATAATCTCGCTTGGATACTGACAGTCTTTAGCTTGGTCTCATGGTTCACACTGAAGAAAAATTACAGACGAACATTAGTCTGTTCACATAGTTACATATGACACATCCTTTATTGTTTTTGCAAGAGAAAGTGGGGGTCATGGGTCTATTACTATCTGAATGACATTAAAATCAGCTGACACTAACCATGCGGATTGTGGTTTTTCTCCATAGCACTCAGGTCACATCTGTCTAGCTGACCAGAATACTTTGGATTTGGAGTATCAATGTATCTCCAAAGGACATAACGAAGCCAGCCGATATTTACCAATAGCAGTTCAGGGCAAGCACTTTTCCTTGAGTGTAGATTTGCGACGTTACACTGTCGTGTATAGGCTGACGTACCCGTTGCCATATCGTTGGCAAAAGTGAAAAATGTTGTGTCCAATCAAGTTTGACATAGATAACGACAAACTTCTAATGTGAGTACTCTTCTGAGGTCACCTACTTGAGAAAACCAAACTCCGTTGGTCTCACCACTGTATCCAAGAAGAGGAAGAGCAAAAGTTTTGTACAGAAGTGCCCAATTTCGTACGTTAATTTCGAGAAATAAGACATGTGTTACTTACCCATTTTTTATACTGCTCAATACGCTCTCGAAAGTGAAGAATCCAATTCCCCAAAGACTTTAGTGTGGCCGGTGCCAGTCGACGCCATAATAGTGGAAGCTGTCCGTTGGATAAAGATCGAGCAAGATCATCGAGTTCGGCAGACAAGCCAATTTCTCCGGCCAAGGCGCGTTTCAGCATTTCTAGACTGTTTTTAATGCGGTGGTTTAGTAGATTAAAGCGCTCCAGTTCCTGCAAAATAGTTACAAGAGACCACACCCACTAGGAATCATCCGTGTCATAAAAGTTGAGCATATTTCAAAATGTCCTTTGTTTCGCTACACCAGATTGCTTCGTATGACCTTGAAAATTGTGCAGTAACTTCCGAGTAAACTGAATATTCAGAGTAATTTTCAGTGATCGGGAGGGAAGGTTCACTCGAGCAAAATCTATCGTGAAATCCAAATTTATGAAGGGTTCACTCAGTTACATTGGCAAATATTATCTTCATTTGGTTGTAACTGTATCTGTCAAAATCAACAAGGCTATGATAATAAAAATACCCTATCCTTTGGTTGTCACGTCGTAAGAGATTTTGGCTTTTAACGGGAGAATCAGGTTACCGACAAGTCAGAGAAGTATGGCAATCCAACCCAATTTTTCTGTCTGCCAGTATAGTCAGAAAACAAGTCCTAACACTGCGAGACCAGCCTAGCTGGGTATCTTACACATCATTAATCATCGCAATAGAGTGCTTACAATTAATTGAAAGTTTTACAAATGTTTGGCGCCAGTGTTTTCAGGTGAAGTTATGGCATTGCAGTCGTAATACCGCTGGCTGCAACAGGTTGAATTGCCAATAAGCTGATGATTAATTGGTAGCTTTATTCTCTGTTGCCGTAAATCAGGCTGTCTGGTTGTGATAATAGATGGTTTTACAACTGACTGTCCATCTTGCTGCTCTATAGCAGAGTTGAAAGTAGATTGTGTCCGTACCAAACAGGTCCCTGTTTTTTAAACTCACGTAAACCATACACTGGAGTTTTATCACTGGCAACTAGAGGTATCACGAAGTTTCAAAGTTATGATGACGCGTTCCGTTCCAGGTCAAGGGAAAGATATTTGGGGGCCATATATCTAGCCCAATTAGTTCACTGTCAGTGTCGAATTGACGTTCACTGTCTGATGCGATCGAGTGGATAATCGGATATCTCGAAAGCACGTGACAACAATAATTGGAACGGTTCATACAGAGGAAGGTTTATTTTCCAGGGTGTGCACCATCTAGCTTCGGTGTTGATCCATTTGTGCAATGTTCCGACGTGAACATATTTTTAGGCCACAGAATCCACAACTGTGCCTGTATTTTCAGCCAGTGATTCTGGTACACAATAATCTGATATAGAAGGTACTAGAAACACGGAACCCACGGACTGTAACTTTAAGCTGATCACTGCCTGGTATAATAAGGTCAAATCTGGCCAGTTCGAAGCAGAGTCCCAGTTAACACAAGAACGCAGTGTGTAACTATGTGTTACCAAGTCCTAAAGTTGACCTATCACCTGGTAAGTCAGTTTAGCTAGCTGCCAAGATCTGTATCTCTTTCCTAACTGGTTAAGCTGAACAAGCTTCATTTCAGAATTAGGTATCCAATGTTGTTCATGAGCCAAGTTCAGGAATTCTTTCCTAACCCTTGATATTTTCCCTTGTTTTTAAACCAGGACAGAGACGAAAACTTTCCCCCATATTACGACTGACCGCGTTGCACACTCACCACAACACAGATAAGCAATAAACTGGCAAAATCCCTTCACAGATCTGCAGCATCCTACCACAAATTTTCGCCTAACAAAACTTTCTACCTGGCACCGTCCTCAAGATCTGTTTCAATTTGTGCAACAATAGCGTTCAACAGCACCAATATTTCTTCAAAACTGAGGTTTGAATATCAATTGTGGTACTACAGATGCAGCAATAAGGTGTAATAAAACATTGAGAGTCTTTACCACAAGCGCACGTGTCAGACGAGTAACTTCAGATTCAGTTACCAGCCAAGCTAGCGAACCATGGGGAAAAAAACGCTCGGAAATTCAGTCCAATATCAATGTTAACTTTCACACACACAAAATAAGAACCAACGTAATGGTACCCATTTTCACCACAACTATCACCTGAATGTGTTGTGCGACAACCGAACCGAGAAAAAGAATCTGTTACAAAGGCCGGCTCAGGTCATGGCGGCGTCCAAAAGCTTTGGGGTTTTTGTAGTGCAGGCTACCCCTACCGAACGAAGCCATATTTCATGTAGCCAGTCACTCACTTTTTCATCTCCGTCTCTAGATGTTCTGGGTCTTACAGTGAGTGGACCTAGTCTCAGGCCAGGTTCAGAAACAAGCAGCAGAAATGTTCAAGTTCCTCCTATTTCCTTTCACCTAGGGTAGGTCACTACAAGATTTAAGTGCTGACCGGATTCAAAACGAATTTCACCTGTAGTCCAAAATCGGTCGGCTTTGGTTTTAATATTGAAAATCGCAGTGTATGAACTTGAAGCATTCCGCATGATATTTTCATGTTACGTTTAAACCTGTAGAGATATTAGCCCGAGGAAATGGATGCACCCATTACTACTCTGTTCCCAAAGGGATTTCTCATATAATTTTAGTTGAAGGGATTTCCTTCAACTCTAGCATGCAACTACTCGCAAGTATTGAACGATGAGGCCCAGTCGAGGAGAATTGGAAAAAAAATAATGTGTTCTTAGGTCATCCGGATCAGTTACGCAGTGTGCAAAATGCAGACACAATTGCTCCGAAGATATCCTACTTTTAGAGTAAAGTTTCTCGCCCAATGAAGATGTATAATAAATTCATCTTTCTGGTGTCATATGTGTGTCCGCTTCAGATCCATTGAGAATTAGAGCCAGATAGTCATCGCGTGACCTTAGGTTTCGGGTCACGTCATACACAACTAGAAACCTGCCGAACGATTACTACAGCACCGCCACTATAATGACAGTACTACTGCCATGACTAAAATCGGTATGTATCACGCCGCGGCTATACCGAGAAAAGGTCACAAACACGAGAACTTTTTACGTAACAGTAACACTCAACCGATTGGCGCTCCAAGATCCATAACCACACCGCTGGGTGGAACAGTAGTGACCGCAGTAAAGCAGTATCAACTGTACGTATGTTCTAAACCACGTTCTGAGAACGGTTTTGTTGTGAAAAGTTGGCTACTGAATTGAGTCGGATAGAGAAGGCAAAACGCTAAGTGTAGTTGTTTTTTATTGTTTCTCCCTACTCGACAAGTCATTAGCACAGTTTTTAGCTCTAGAAAATGGAGGAACAATTTATCGAATTTTCTTAGAAAACTCCGGGTGGTGGACAGTTCTAAGCAAGACTGACAGCTAGACTTTGTAAGCAGCTAATTAAGATTGCGCCATTTCCGAAGGGTTTTTAAGTTATTGGCAATGTTTCGTGCAAGTAATGCTTCGAATGAAGTGCATTTACAGCTCAGTGGTTAAATTTGTTGTGATTCAACCAAACTCATTTTAAAATATTAAGTCCACCTTAGTTGTCTGAATGATATAGCAAGAAGACAAAAACTGCAGGTCTTCTATCTTTTGCTTTCATCTCTTCGAAATTAATACTACAAACCATCAATTTTACATGGCACATAGTGATAAGTATCAGTAAATGATCGGAACAGAGTCAATACGGTGAAACAATCAGATCTGGATCTTAATTCGAAGGCAAGCTGGGTCGGTATTGATTGATCAACTATTTCGAAGCAATATTGTGCAGTACAGAATGCAGCAGTGGGGCCAGCTCTGACTGAGTGCAATACGCAGCGGACAACGGTGATTGACTTTTCTCATGAGAGCAGGATTACTTAGGTGGCTGGGTACCAACGAACGATTACAGCAGGTAACTTGTGCCATATGGCTGAGTTCAAATGATGTTCTGCAGTGATCGTAAACTGAAACCTGATAAAAAATTCATTTTTATTAACTGGTCAGGCTTACGCCTTGGCGTGCCGTAGACGGATGTATTTCCCTGGGTAACCGTTAGAAGTTAGCGCCCTTTTTAGAAACTCTTCTCGAAGAGTCAGGATTACAGATAAGTCTGACGCATTAGAACAAGGTACTCCTTTTGTAGGCTAAAGGAGCAAAACTGAAAACTTTTAAATACTGCGCAGGATACTCAAAAACGCAAGACTGCCACTTCAAAAGACACTGAAAGGTTTCAGTTCGAACTGTTCATGCGGTTGTACAGGTTCCAACAGAGGCTGAAGTCAAAAAAGCTCCTTCAGGAAGATTGCTGAGTCACCTCTAAAGTGTGCCCAGCAACCCTCCGCAGTGGGCACCCAACTCACCAGTAGTTTCTGTGGTGGCTTCTGTTTGCAGCCCTCTTGTGTAGAACCTAGTAAGTATATAACTGTGACCTACCTGCAAAAGAACCACCGAAGTAGGTGGAATACTAGCACTCATCGTTTTTCGAATTTGTTCCCTGTCGAACGGTTCAGGCAGAATGTGGAGAACATCACCGGCAACTTGATCAAGTAGGGCCTCGCGACTGGTCGCACCCGGTTCGTCCGCTGTTTGTGGTTGAAGTTCAATTAGACTATTCCATAGCTGTTTGGCCGCACGGGTATGATATCCGATTTCAGCGTTTGCATGTAATCCAAACACTTCTGGGGTATTGGCCAATGGCAGAGTGTGAATGTATTCTGAGAAGATCGACACATTGGTTGATGAAAATAAATTGCAGAAATTCAGCTCTGGTTACGTTCTGATCATCAGTGCATGTAATGTAGCAGAGGAAATGCTCTGGAAGTGCCATGTTCTTTTTAGATTTGCAGCACGCTATATGAAGGAATGTGGTGAACTCTATGATGGCTATCAGAATGTAGCTGGTCAAGTGATTCGTTGATTAGCTATCCTGTGTATTCGTAGGAATTGTTCTGGTTTGTTTACTCGGTAGACAAAGTCTTCTCATTATCAATTGAATTAGGAATATCATTTTCCCTAGTAGAGGAAACTTTAAGGTAAAAAGATTTTAGCGCCACTGTTGTGTGACCTGTCTTCAGAGCGGCGGAGGGGGGGAATTCCGCACTTGACCATCGATGACAGAAAAGATCATTTGCCCCCCAAAGGAGGTTAATTTATTCCATTTCAACGGGTAGTGTGTCTTCTTAGCAAAATCCTCACTCGAAGAACCGGTCCACAGCAAACTGAGTGAAAAAAACTGAGGGAAGACTGGCACTTCATGCTGCCTGTGTACGTTTAATGATGCTATCATCCTTTGTTAACTGGGAAAAAATTGGGTAAAATATCACGGATTTGAATTTCCTAAAACCTTCATGAGATGCTAATTGAGGATGTCTCTCAGCTTGGATCAAAGAGCTGTATATTTCTTTCTCACTCTTTATCATACTAACTTAGGGAGAAGAATCTTATCCTGTTGTTCACGTAAAACATCCAGTCCCTTAATCACGACGCCATACTGAAGAATCACTGCTGCTAGTCCTTATATTCTGCTTGAATAGACAAATACAACCAAGAAGTTATTCGGTCAGCAGACCCAAACCTCTCCTGATTAAAAAAGAATTTCATTCCACCAGTGAGGTCATCCTATGCTGAAAAACCGGGAACCACTGCACTTCAGCCACAGCTGGACCACACGTTCAGCCACTGGTCGGAAGGTCGTAGGTCTGAAGCCCTCTGACTTTCGTAAGATACGCACTGCTGATTATTCCCAATAAGGATGAAGCAGATGCACAGTGGTCTTCGGTTTTTCAGCACAAAATGGGCAAAAATGACAGGGCAAAATCTCAGATGAAAATGACGTTCTCTTAAGCTCGCTTAGTTTATCTTCTCAGTCTCCAAACGGTAACACACTATGTGATACAATTCCATAAAAAAGTGTTCACTTCAGAATTTTGGCCGTTCGTGGTGAGCTGCTCCTGCTTCAGTTGACAGTGACGCCAAGCAACAAAACATCAAGATCATTGTCAATAGAGTCAAGTAAGTAAACACTACAGTCGTTTGCGTACGAACGATGATGGTTCTTCTGGCGCCACATTTACTGTGGGAGTTAACAAATATGGGAGAGAAAAGTTGAAACTAAGATGTTTACAAGCGTTTCACTATCCACTGGCAAGGTCCAATTACAAGAGTAGATAAAACAGACGATCGGCGTCAAAATCACTAGTCAAGCGTAAAAGTAGCACTTAGGTTCGACTATTCCGTTGATGTCTGTAGCAGTGGTTTATGGTATTCGTAAGAGTTGCGCTTTTATACCAACAATTTTCTTATGTGCACAAAGCCTTTGATCGCAAAGTGAGAGACCGCGCCGATAAAAAGAACCGCTTAAACTAATTAGTGTGGGTTGCCAAGATTTCCAGTTTGCTCCCAATAAATTTGGGTTGCAGATGCATTATGAACATAGATGTTTTAACAAAAATTCTGGTTTAATGTGCCAGGCGCCAAAAAATAAGAACCACTTTACAACGAGGCTTGATGCGGCATAAATCGAAGCAAATTTCCAACCATCCAATCTGACTTGGAAAAGAAAGGAACAGCGACGCATGGTTATTTCTTCCTTATTGAAATTCATGAACAGTACGACTCTCACCAAGCCAGACTGGGCCACGTGAACGCACCTTGCTGACAAGTAGTGAAAGAACAACATTCGTGCTAGAGAATGGGTTTGTGCTTTTCACTGTCTTATACAAGAATAAGTAGTTCATTTGTCTGTTCGGTATCCATGACCAGGATTCTGCCCGACCCAGGGGGGACAAGTGATTAAGGAGTGGGGATTGTGGCGGAAAGCATTGTGTCAACTTCGACTTCAGGTGCGTTCAAATCATTGGATATCAAAGCTTGTATTCTTATGTACTCAGTAACTCTCCGTGACACGATACTAGCAAACCCATTTTGGACCCTATTCTGTAACACTCCGTAGACTAAGTTGATCGAATTTTGATGGAAGTCTCTGATATTTCAAAATAGAAGTTAAGAATGGAGGCGAAACAGAAGAATTTCAGAAATACTGTTGCTTAAACGGGAAACAACATAAGAATGAAAAAAGCACTGGGTAGTTGCCCTTTAAACTATCGGACAAAAAAACAAAAAGGACTTCATTTTATTATTTCACGGACTATAGAAAATGTCCGAAAGGACTGCCACACCTGCATAACGAAATTTACAGCCACATTTTCTGGTTATCATTCTTCCAATGCTAAGGGAATTCGAGTGGAATCCACATCTATTCACTGAGAATGGTGTTGTCGGGATTAAATAACAGAAGCTCGGACAATACACTCATTTGCAAATCAATTTGGTTTTCACGGGAGACTCAATCGAATCTCTCGTATATGATGTCCTCCAGCTGAATGTGCTGCAAACAAGCCGCCCAAGAAGGGCGAAACCGGTCGTGGGCTGTCGATGAGTTTTCAGCAAACTTGTGAGTAGTTTCCTTCATGAAAATATACTGCGATATCTCGAAAATCGTGCCAACTGAATCATGAGGTGGCCTGTGTGCAGCACATCCAGCTGGAGGACATCATAAACGAGAGATTCGATTGAGTCTCCCGTGAAAACCAAATTGATTTGCAAATGAGTGTATTGTCCGAGCGAAAACAGTGCAATTTGGGTTCAAGTAGATCATAAGGTTGACGGAAACTCGGGGACTGCGCCTACCTGATGAGCCTAAAGAAGGGCGAAACCGGTCGTGGGCAGTCGAAGAGTTTTCAGCAACCTTGTGAGTGGTTTCCTTTATGCAAAAAGAAGCTCGGACAAGTTTGTTGTTTATCAAATAGCAACATAAAGTTTGATTTCATTAGACCGAAGAAAAAGTGTCGTGGTGACAAAATAAATAGTCGATGCATGATTTCTACGGAGTCCTGGCGCAATGCATGGTAGGTAGCGTCGAAAAGTGTGTCAGAGTGTCCACAACCCTGTCAAGTCAACCTTCTCGTTGCCACTTCTGAGATAATAACTAATAGCAGATTAAAATATGAATGAAGGTGACATGACCCCAGCTAAAGTGAATCGATTCCACGGGGCACAAGTAGATCGCTTGATCAAATAGAGAGATTAGGATCATAAAACAAAAGTTCCTAGTCGGCTGCAGAACGAATTCACTGATTTTTAAACATGATTTGAAATGGATATTCCTCGATCTCAACGAAACCTTAGACTTGGTAAGGCAATGAGGTTTTGAATTCTAGTTTGTCCACTTTGCAGTGTGGGCCAGCTCATCATTCTTTGAGGCTTTTAAGTACAGTTTTCGGTGTGGAAAAGTTGGTCATCCATGGAAATTTTCTCCAGTGTGTTTCCTCTATTCTTAATGATTATCCTCTTTTTCTGCTACGTTTGATGGGTTGTTTTGGCACCCTAGTTCAGTTTTCCGTCATGAGAAGTGAGAGACAGAAGCCAGTTTTGCCTGACCTTTCAGTATGCCAAACTACTGGTTGCAGAGTAAGACGTTTTTTTCAGAATATGGCCACTTAATTGAGATTCTGTTCTATCAGGAAAATCAATCTATGCCAAAGAGCCGAGAAGCCTTGCACAGCTGCCACCTTCTTGAGACGGACATCAGTTGCCGAATTTGCTTTGAAATCTTCTACATGATGGATGCCGACAACAAAGTATGTACATGCTCAAACTATTTTTATTGCTATGATTGTTATCACTGACACTATCCTTAATAATTACGAACTTCGGGTAGAGTATCTCACTGTCGAAAGATATGACTCTCATAGTTCGATCAAATTCAACCACTCATTCACCAACAATCGATGCCCCCATCCTCTCAGATTGCTCCTTATCAACTGATCCCGGAATTATACAAAGAGGTAAGCGGATCTTTGTCCTTCCAGTAAGAAGCAAGTGTCCGTATAACCTCGTGAGTGTCACAGGAGAAGTATTCGAATGCAGCTGTTAGATTTCGGAACATTACTGATTGCTATGGGTTCGGTTTGATGGGAGCTGTTTTTGCCGACGATGGCATGGGTGCATGTGAATTACGGGGTTCTACTCTGCTTCCTTCCTTTGCAAAACCGTTCATCAAAAGAACATCACAACGAACCCCAAAGCCTTTGATCCCCAGGGTACATAAATAGAAAAATAGCTGTCAGCATTTGGAAAGAAATTCCAGAGGGAGGAAGTTGGCTAAATCCGCACCCAGCTACCGGTTCGGCAAGTTTTTATCTGTTGTTATTTCCCTGAAAAATCCAATTATCTACACTGATGAAGTGTTACCGCATATCCCTCAAATTTGAGCCTTTGGACATAAGCCACTTAATCAGAGTTTCTATAACAAGGGCTAATTGTCAGCATTCAGTAGGATTTCTTATCTCTGGAGAAGCCATATTCACTTTCCAGGAGACTATGCAATAATGTTATTCAGTGATTGATACTAGAAAGTACCTAGGACCGGGACGATCTCCATACTCATAAGTACATTTGAATCCAAAATAAACTGAACACTTGCATCTAATTCAGAATTGATACAGGACAGTAAAAAACATGGGACCTAAATTGGACCGGTGGAGTAATGCACAGTTCCATCTTTTCTCAAAATTTATTCATTCGACATGTCCTGTTTCTAAAGAGGATTGATATTTTGTGCTCACTTGAGTTCCGCATGCGTTTCACACCCTGACTTAATTAATGTGCTTTTTGTTTTTACCAACTTTCGTGGACTGTGTTATCACCGTTCAAAGGAACCGTACTCTTATTTATTGAAGAATTGATGGCAAACTCTACAGTACATACTGAGAAACCTCATTCCACTTTCCAATGAGTGATAATTCATGTGTCGTTCCAGAGATCCCTTGAAGGTATTGCCTTTGACGTTATATCAGATAACAGTTCCCTCCATTATCAGTTCCATTCGCGAAATTGTTAACGACAATATCTAGTATTTACATTTACAAGCCTTGAGTTCCAATGTGAATATGAGCTAACTTACCCACGTAATCATCACGGCCACACCAGNACGTAATCAACAACGTTGTTTTGATAAAAATGAAAGGTTTGAAATTCGTCGAATATGAAATCTCCAAAGTATTCATCCATATAAGTTCGCAGAACTCGACGGTCAAATTCATCAATGGCGCGACCACCGTACATCACATCGCCGATCAGATACTTGAGACTGTCCCATGGTATACGCTTCTCACCTTCTTCAAAACTCTTTTGTAAATAAGTCCGAAGTATATCCATGCATACTCGAAAGTCTGATTCGTTAAAGTCGTACGGGATGTTCCAGCCAATTTTTCCATACTTTCGTCTTTCCTGTACGACTGCATGGAAGAAAGCCAGGACGTAGACCAGTGGTTGAAAAGCCGGATGCTCACAATCGAGCAAAGTCGAAGGCGTAATTTTGTGGTAAGTTGATAGTAGGTTTTGCTTTAGTCCGTTTGGTGGTTCAGTAACCACCTTGAGAGAACGTTGAAGAACTCCTACGGGAAAATCACTACACGGTTCTGTAGTAAGCCACAGTCGGAAATCCGGATGAGGTGTAGTCAATCTTTCCAGACGTTTCTCGAGAACCTTCAGCCATTTAACCAAGAGATGACAGTTTTGTAGCATCAACCAATGACCGCGAGTAATGCAAACCTCTAACAAATTTTGTGCATTTTTATCTTGTCCTTGGCCCATTGACAAGAATTTAATGTTGCACTGATCAAACCCCTGACGGTCGGCAAGTTTTAGTAGATCACCTGTTGGATCTGACCCGGGGCTGAGAATGAAAACTATGGGGGTCATGGGAGTGCTTTGTTCGTAGATGGAGGTAAAACTGAGGATTGGCGGAGTTACGAAGCGTTCTCCCATTGTGTCAGTCACATACAACCTGATGGCTTGGTAGATGCGGTCCACACGAAAACAACGAAGCAAGCAAAGACGTTCGAACCATCGGAGATTTTTGGAGTAGTTTCCAGGCATGTGGATACTTTCAGGCGCGTCCTTGTTGTACCACTGGAACATAGAAAAAAGTTGAGTAGCGTGGGAATAAACGCATTTCGTAGCACATGAGCAAATGTTGATGACAACTGAATGGTATATGAGTTGTACATGGTACTGGTACTCTCATTTCGCAACATCCAACTATTCTTTTTGTTAGTTGAAAGTTTGATCAGACAGTTTTGGCCTCATCAAAAGTTTTAGGAGTTATGGAACACCTTGTTGAAGTTTATTCCGCTTGGTCGAAACAATAAGACCACGACAACCATTGCGGCAGACCGACCAGTAAGTTTTAAATCGACTTAAGAACATGTGGTATCCCATCCACTGTATACTGGGAAACTAGGTAATTGATAACTCCATCCCACTCTTTGGTTAGTAGCTAAAGGCAAGCTGTAATCTAAAACCGTGTAAACCGCACAATCCAGACATTTTTCTCCTTCAGGTGAACCGCTAGATTTATTCAATGGTAGCATGTTCCCGCAGAATTACCCTAACATTCAACGTTAATCAAAAGACACTAAGGGGATGAAAAGGCTATACAGAAAACGCTCCATGTTACTGGTTTTGATCATCCCAAGAGCGCAAAGTAGTCATTCGAGCGATTAACGAACTAAGTTAAACAGTAGGCGGAGAAAATGTCTGAAAATAACTTTTAAAGATCTATATTGCTAAAACCTCCTCAAAAGCTCCGTAATAGTTGCCATTTTAAGTATAAAAATCATTCACCTGTCGCACCCTTTGGGTCACTAGCTACCAGGCCACCCAAAGGAAACAGGAGAGCTGGGATACTACCAGGTTGCCCAAGTATAGGCAGAGGAAGTTGAGAGGTAGAGGTCGGGTTCGAACTATAGACCTTCAGGTCAGCCAATCCGCGCTCTAATCACTAAGCCATCTCACTCAGCATTTTAATTACTGAAATGGGGAAGCTTCTCAGCAATATCGTGTTCTCTTAGGTGAAAAATTTCGCCTTTAACGTACCAGTGAATTAAATCTAGGGCATAACGTATTACTGGCCACTTAAACCATGGGCGGATGAAATGGACAAGAACAAGTAAACATCATCCTTTCCCCGAAAATTCAGTCCTAGTCAGTTGACGTACGTTTTGATGTGTGTTCTCATGGCACGAAGGACACCTGCCTAGGCCATTTCAGCGTGGAGCCATATCTGACGATGAATGCTAGGCAGCAAGTATTTTGCCAGCTTGGAAACCTGACAGCCTTGCTGACAGTCTGCTTCACAATAAAGAAAGAAACTCTAGAGCCTGATGCCTCTTTTCAAACTTTTGGTGCTACTTTCCAAGGAGGGTAATCAGAATATCTTCAGGTCTTCCTATGTACTCGTCATAGCAAGCGCAGCAAACAAAATAGCAGTCCACGTGCGATGCTCCCAGTGGAAGCTCTTCCACTTACTGCTGATAGCATTGAGCGGGGACGCTGAAGGTCACGCTGCCCCATTGGAGAATCATAACATTTCTCATAAACTTTCAACGCCAGCGTTTATACAAAAGCACAGAATATTGGAAGGCATAGGCCTACCAAGGTCAAATCAGCTGAGACAATCCAGAAGTGCCCGTTTTCCTCCAGAAGTGTTTTATGTGGTTGGCAAAGAATGCAATCGTTTTTCTCCCATGCTTCTGCGCCCATCTTACACGCAAATCCGCTTAACTGCAGTCTGATATACGATTTTGCTTGCGGTAGCTAAAGTACTCGTTTGAAGACAACCTTCTCTATCATTTTGGCACTTTTATTCGGGTAATGATGTTGACTCAATGAAGCAGATATTCACAGTCCAGTTCAACTTAACACCTAACTAGAATACACGCTTTATACTCACATTCACGAATTTGCATATTTAAGGTATACCTCAGTTAAGAAGCGAGCGCTTATGAAGGCTCTCCTACCTCCGCAGCGCCATGTGCGTGAACTATCAACAGAGGAATAGTTTCATTGTTCATCCGCACGGAAACTTTGCATGTGAGGAAAAAATAAAGCGCTGGGTGATTTGATGTCAAACAAACCAGCTTTAAAAAGTTACCAGCAATGTTCACAATATGTATAAGGTGGCGCATTATGATGAAGTTATGCAGATAGGTCTGTCCGTAATCTTGGTATCATGCATTAGAAGGTCAAGTTCCCATGATGAACCAAAAGTGTGCTATTTTGTTATTACATTTATGAAAATTACTAGCTATTTGTTGCTAGTGCATGGACGGTGCGAAAACGTAGTCCATGACTTATTATAAACAAGCTCAAAACTATGTGAGCTTCCTGTACGAACAGTTACCTTTCAACTCAGTAGTAGCAGTGATGCAGATGAAAATAACATTTTGACTTCTGTTTATAGAAGGACTTGCTGAGGAAACCCTTTGTACCAAGTGGAAAGTTTCACCTTGTTTCGTGGTAGTTCAAGTGTGTACCAAACTTTCGGATGATGTTATTTCTACTCGTGGTTCTGTTTCGACCCTATGTACCTGCTGACACGCTCGGACAAACGTCCTACCGACTTAACTGCAGACAATAGTTCTTCCGAATTTTATGGTTTTTACTCAACACAGTTAAGGTGATTTCGTCATCTGTGCTTTTCAAAATAGTTTTAAGTAGTATCTTGAGGAGTCTCGATTCCGTGAGGGGTCTCGTCGATTTTGTGTAATGAATGAAGATTCACATGATGTCCAATTATTAGTTACATTTGCACGAGACAACAGTGATAACAGTGTGTCTGTACATCCTTTAAAATGTCAGTATGATGTTAAATGAGCCCATATCTGGGCTATTTGATGGAATCTGAGGTATTTTATTCCTGCCCGTCCCGTTTTTCGCCGTTGCTGAAGGCCCTAACACCAAGACCTCAGATCGAGCAGAGATAAGCTCGAAATTTTTCGATGGACTTTGGGTCTTTCTATACCCTCTTTCGAATCTAAACTCCACTAAATTCCAATCGGTAAAGTGTTTTCGAAAATCCGCTTCAGTTTCGATTTCGAGTGCTACTTTGTGCCTTTTTTGAACAGGATCTTCTTCAGGGTTACAGCATTATGTTACAGCCACTATGTTGGAGCAGATTGGGTAGCAACGAAAAGCCATAAACGTATATTGAGAGGTTGTCCGACTTCAAACATTCCTGATTGAAATTTAGTTCAGCATTCGTTTGCAGAATATTCGGTAGGTTGTCTACTGGAACTATGCTACGCTAGGGCATGGCTCTTGTTTTGGAGTTCAGTCACAATCCCGCAAGGCATTCCACTGTTAGCTTCAAAAGATTGGACTTGTAACCACGGCAAGGTGATCGGGATGCTTCGGCTCACGCAACCAGATAAATGTATGTCAGGGGTGGACTATAAAGACCGGAAGATATCTTCCAGAGTACGCCTGAAGACAACAAAAGTCCAGACAGAAAGCATTATTCATCAGATTGCCGACAACTTTTTGATAGCTCAAAAGCATCACAAACTAGAGATTCAGCTGGGTTTCGTGTAAGTCTTCTGTCAAAACCAAATCGGTACGCAAATGAGTGTGTTTCGTGGCACACAGTGGTCCAGTGTGACTAACCAGCTATCTCCCGTGATCCTATGCGACGTACAATGTAGACAAATGAGAACCGACAAAAAGTTGGCTTGGTTCATCCATTAATGACCGGGGTTATTGATGTAAACCACATGAACCTATAGAAAGTGTCCCTGGTACCAAAAGCAGTCTCAAGCACCAACCATCCATGCCTTGCGGAGCATTGCAACAGGTACATGCCCGTTCTGTTGACCTTCCCTGATCACATTTCATGTTCGTGTTTTGACTGGCCTGCATTCCAAATAGTCGTAATCTCTATCACAGTACAACACCCCAATTATTTCTTTCTACAATGGTGTCTCACAATCATATGCCATGATGCCGTTTCGCTGGTGAATTATTGATGATGAACAATGTGGACTGTAGACGGGTCATCCGAATTCATCATTCACAGTCATAGGGTATTGCAAAAACTTTCGCGATGGCGCTCTAGCGTTTCATGCTTGTGAAACAATCGGCCATAGTTTTGGTGAACTACCTGGAACAGGTGACAATTTTTAACTCATATTGAGAAGCAGAATATCGTGTAACTGGAGGTTTCCGAGTCCAGTGAATTTGAGGGCCAAATCTTCTGAGTATAAGGTCACATTGGATCGATTGGAACGATATGGGACCATAGAATTGTATCGCACTGCAGGAAGCGCAAACACCACGGCCTGTAGTACGATACATTTCGGCGATACCGCCAGCCTAGCGCTTGGGTCTCAGCATTTTCGCAGTGTCAAGAAGTAACGAACTCTCTAAGATATAAAGCGGAAATTTGTAGATAACTCTAGTATTGTTGCGCACACCCGCATCAGTCATACATGAGAATTATTTTTGTCCAGCTTATCACTTAAAGTGGCTCTCAAAACTGAATTTTGTTCGAACTATAAATGAAAGCTTAAACTACGGTCCGTTTTGTGCTGTTTGTATATTCTTTTCACCATTGAAGTAGCTAGCTCCTTAACAGAGAGATGCTATATCAACATAACAGCCACCATATCGACAGAGATATCAACGAACTGACGAAGTGCACGATTACAGTCGTGTCAATTACGAGAGACTGAACTCATGAACGGATGGTCCAGTTGAGTCTACCTTTAAATCAGTTGGGTGACGAGAGTTATTGGTCAATAGACATTGCAGACTAATTCGTATAGGTCAGATGAGAACGGGATCACCAGATGTCTTCAAAATGTTTGTACACATGTTTTGGGTCAAAAGGAAAACTGTACGCTGGATTTGGACTCAGTGAAATATAGGTACGCTGAGCAATGCTGCGTGATCTGGGTGTGACACCAAATGGTTCCCATTCGGTTGCTTTATCTGAACTCTGGCTACTCCCTGTTGTTCACTGACTGCAATTTGAATTCCGTTTATAGGAACCGTATACTCGTCCATACTACCTGAGAAGCGAAGACAAAAATCTATCACGTCACACACCATGAAGTGAACGATGAAATTTCCCA